TGGTCACTCACACCTCAGACAGATTGACAAACACACCACAACACGCACACAGGCACATTTGTCCATTGGGTCCGATATGCAGTGGAAATGCCCTACACACATCACGACTACGTCCACCGAATCTTCATCGACATTCCAAACACCGCTCAAGTGAAGGAAACAAGTGTGTGAACGAGATTACCTGTGTGTCGAGAAGATTCTCTTCACTGGCACCGACAATAACACACACTCTACTTCACACAACGAAACGCAAATCAGTCATTTCATCACAAATGCTTATATTGACAGTCGCCCTTTCATTCACCACTCATATGCCAGATTGCCGACTCCAATGAGAATCATCAATAGTGAACGACGAAATCAAACATCACATCACAGTCACGCACACCACCTGGAAATCTATGCATGCTTATGAATAGGCGAACACACATTGGATGGGTTGGACAATGCCACGTGAATTCAACGGATGGTCGACAATGCTTCGTCGAACCAATGTTGCTCAGCACACATCAGACAGATTCACAAATACTGAAAAACAGATACACACACAACCAGGGTGGCTACGATCACGGTCACGGTGTCGACGTGAGACGTTTCGACCTCATCACATACACAATGGATTCTTGACTCCAAATTCAAGTGATCTGATAGGAGACCCACGGTACAGGTACTCACGGGACAACTCTCACACACAGTTACACAGAGAGTGAGACAGAGTCACCGACACAGACACATCACGGATCGAAAAATTTATCGACATTCCACAACACTGCAATCAAGGAAACAAGTGTTTGAATGAGATTACCTGTGTTCCGAGAACATTCTCCCCTCCGGAATCGACACGATCCATGTGACTGACAGAATGGGTGCCTGTCGAAGCGTCTCCACTCACATCTCCTTCAGCTCCAACTACCTCTGTCAGTGCTGGTCTTCCACCTGGTACCTGAAATGGAATGAGACCACAGAGTGGATTAAGCGCGAGTGTGTAGTGTGCAGTAATTAGTGCTGGATTGCAAGTGTGTCAGACCTATGCATTATGTTTGGTGAGACATTCATAGTGTTTTTTTATTGGTTGTCTGGATCACATGTCCGAAGTGAATTACTCGGCACACTGCTCACCTGTCATGTTCTCGTCCAGCCAATCATCTGCCTCCCCTTCACCCTAATCCACTCCACACATTCTCTGAAGAATCCATGTGCCTGTCGAATAACATCTCTGTTCCTTGTTCGCCTACACTGAGACACACTCACTTACTCACACTCTACTTCACACAACCAAACTCAACTCAGTCATTTCATCACAAATGCTTATATTGACAGTCGCCCTTTCATTCACCACTCATATGCCAGATTGCCGACTCCAATGAGAATCATCAATACTGAACGACGAAATCAAACACCACATTTCAGTCACGCACATCACCTGGCAATCTATGCATGCTTATGAATAGGCGAACACACATTGGATGGGTTGGGCAATGCCACGTGAATTCAACGGATGGTCGACAATGCTTCGTCGAACCAATGTTGCTCAGCACACATCAGACAGATTCACAAATACTGAAAAACACATACACACACAACCAGGGTGGCTACGATCACGGTCACGGTGTCGACGTGAGACGTTTCGACCTCATCACATACACAATGGATTCTTGACTCCAAATTCAAGTGATCTGATAGGAGACCCACGGTACAGGTACTCATGGGACAACTCTAACACACAGTTACACAGAGAGTGAGAGAGAGTCACAGACACAAACACAAACACAAACACAAACACAGACACAGACACATCACGAATCGAAAAATTTATCGACATTCCACAACACTGCAATCAAGGAAACAAGTGTTTGAATGAGATTACCTGTGTTCCGAGAACATTCTCCCCTCCGGAATCGACACGATCCATGTGACTGACAGAATGGGTGCCTGTCGAAGCGTCTCCACTCACATCTCCTTCAGCTCCAACTACCTCTGTCAGTGCTGGTCTTCCACCTGGTACCTGAAATGGAATGAGACCACAGAGTGGATTAAGCGCGAGTGTGTAGTGTGAAGTAATTAGTGCTGGATTGCAAGTGTGTGAGACCTATGCATTATGTTTGGTGAGACATTCATAGTGTTTTTTTATTGGTTGTCTGGATCACATGTCCGAAGTGAATTACTCGGCACACTGCTCACCTGTCATGTTCTCGTCCAGCCAATCATCTGCCTCCCCTTCACCCCAATCCACTCCACACATTCTCTGAAGAATCCATGTGCCTGTCGAATAGCATCTCTGTTCCTTGTTCGCCTACACTGAGACACACTCACTTACTCACACTCTACTTCACACAACCAAACTCAACTCAGTCATTTCATCACAAATGCTTATATTGACAGTCGCCCTTTCATTCACCACTCATATGCCAGATTGCCGACTCCAATGAGAATCATCAATACTGAACGACGAAATCAAACATCACATCACAGTCACGCACACCACCTGGCAATCTATGCATGCTTATGAATAGGCGAACACACATTGGATGGGTTGGACAATGCCACGTGAATTCAACGGATGGTCGACAATGCTTCGTCGAACCAATGTTGCTCAGCACACATCAGACAGATTCACAAATACTGAAAAACAGATACACACACAACCAGGGTGGCTACGATCACGGTCACGGTGTCGACGTGAGACGTTTCGACCTCATCACATACACAATGGTTTCTTGACTCCAAATTCAAGTGATCTGATAGGAGACCCACGGTACAGGTACTCACGGGACAACTCTCACACACAGTTACACAGAGAGTGAGACAGAGTCACCGACACAGACACATCACGGATCGAAAAATTTATCGACATTCCACAACACTGCAATCAAGGAAACAAGTGTTTGAATGAGATTACCTGTGTTCCGAGAACATTCTCCCCTCCGGAATCGACACGATCCATGTGACTGACAGAATGGGTGCCTGTCGAAGCGTCTCCACTCACATCTCCTTCAGCTCCAACTACCTCTGTCAGTGCTGGTCTTCCACCTGGTACCTGAAATGGAATGAGACCACAGAGTGGATTAAGCGCGAGTGTGTAGTGTGCAGTAATTAGTGCTGGATTGCAAGTGTGTCAGACCTATGCATTATGTTTGGTGAGACATTCATAGTGTTTTTTTATTGGTTGTCTGGATCACATGTCCGAAGTGAATTACTCGGCACACTGCTCACCTGTCATGTTCTCGTCCAGCCAATCATCTGCCTCCCCTTCACCCCAATCCACTCCACACATTCTCTGAAGAATCCATGTGCCTGTCGAATAGCATCTCTGTTCCTTGTTCGCCTACACTGAGACACACTCACTTACTCACACTCTACTTCACACAACCAAACTCAACTCAGTCATTTCATCACAAATGCTTATAGTGACAGTCGCCCTTTCATTCACCACTCATATGCCAGATTGCCGACTCCAATGAGAATCATCAATACTGAACGACGAAATCAAACACCACATTTCAGTCACGCACATCACCTGGCAATCTATGCATGCTTATGAATAGGCGAACACACATTGGATGGGTTGGGCAATGCCACGTGAATTCAACGGATGGTCGACAATGCTTCGTCGAACCAATGTTGCTCAGCACACATCAGACAGATTCACAAATACTGAAAAACACATACACACACAACCAGGGTGGCTACGATCACGGTCACGGTGTCGACGTGAGACGTTTCGACCTCATCACATACACAATGGATTCTTGACTCCAAATTCAAGTGATCTGATAGGAGACCCACGGTACAGGTACTCATGGGACAACTCTAACACACAGTTACACAGAGAGTGAGAGAGAGTCACAGACACAGACACATCACGGATCGAAAAATTTATCGACATTCCACAACACTGCAATCAAGGAAACAAGTGTTTGAATGAGATTACCTGTGTTCCGAGAACATTCTCCCCTCCGGAATCGACACGATCCATGTGACTGACAGAATGGGTGCCTGTCGAAGCGTCTCCACTCACATCTCCTTCAGCTCCAACTACCTCTGTCAGTGCTGGTCTTCCACCTGGTACCTGAAATGGAATGAGACCACAGAGTGGATTAAGCGCGAGTGTGTAGTGTGCAGTAATTAGTGCTGGATTGCAAGTGTGTCAGACCTATGCATTATGTTTGGTGAGACATTCATAGTGTTTTTTATTGGTTGTCTGGATCACATGTCCGAAGTGAATTACTCGGCACACTGCTCACCTGTCATGTTCTCGTCCAGCCAATCATCTGCCTCCCCTTCACCCCAATCCACTCCACACATTCTCTGAAGAATCCATGTGCCTGTCGAATAGCATCTCTGTTCCTTGTTCGCCTACACTGAGACACACTCACTTACTCACACTCTACTTCACACAACCAAACTCAACTCAGTCATTTCATCACAAATGCTTATATTGACAGTCGCCCTTTCATTCACCACTCATATGCCAGATTGCCGACTCCAATGAGAATCATCAATACTGAACGACGAAATCAAACATCACATCACAGTCACGCACACCACCTGGAAATCTATGCATGCTTATGAATAGGCGAACACACATTGGATGGGTTGGACAATGCCACGTGAATTCAACGGATGGTCGACAATGCTTCGTCGAACCAATGTTGCTCAGCACACATCAGACAGATTCACAAATACTGAAAAACACATACACACACAACCAGGGTGGCTACGATCACGGTCACGGTGTCGACGTGAGACGTTTCGACCTCATCACATACACAATGGATTCTTGACTCCAAATTCAAGTGATCTGATAGGAGACCCACGGTACAGGTACTCACGGGACAACTCTCACACACAGTTACACAGAGAGTGAGACAGAGTCACCGACACAGACACATCACGGATCGAAAAATTTATCGACATTCCACAACACTGCAATCAAGGAAACAAGTGTTTGAATGAGATTACCTGTGTTCCGAGAACATTCTCCCCTCCGGAATCGACACGATCCATGTGACTGACAGAATGGGTGCCTGTCGAAGCGTCTCCACTCACATCTCCTTCAGCTCCAACTACCTCTGTCAGTGCTGGTCTTCCACCTGGTACCTGAAATGGAATGAGACCACAGAGTGGATTAAGCGCGAGTGTGTAGTGTGCAGTAATTAGTGCTGGATTGCAAGTGTGTCAGACCTATGCATTATGTTTGGTGAGACATTCATAGTGTTTTTTATTGGTTGTCTGGATCACATGTCCGAAGTGAATTACTCGGCACACTGCTCACCTGTCATGTTCTCGTCCAGCCAATCATCTGCCTCCCCTTCACCCCAATCCACTCCACACATTCTCTGAAGAATCCATGTGCCTGTCGAATAGCATCTCTGTTCCTTGTTCGCCTACACTGAGACACACTCACTTACTCACACTCTACTTCACACAACCAAACTCAACTCAGTCATTTCATCACAAATGCTTATATTGACAGTCGCCCTTTCATTCACCACTCATATGCCAGATTGCCGACTCCAATGAGAATCATCAATACTGAACGACGAAATCAAACATCACATCACAGTCACGCACACCACCTGGCAATCTATGCATGCTTATGAATAGGCGAACACACATTGGATGGGTTGGACAATGCCACGTGAATTCAACGGATGGTCGACAATGCTTCGTCGAACCAATGTTGCTCAGCACACATCAGACAGATTCACAAATACTGAAAAACACATACACACACAACCAGGGTGGCTACGATCACGGTCACGGTGTCGACGTGAGACGTTTCGACCTCATCACATACACAATGGATTCTTGACTCCAAATTCAAGTGATCTGATAGGAGACCCACGGTACAGGTACTCACGGGACAACTCTCACACACAGTTACACAGAGAGTGAGACAGAGTCACCGACACAGACACATCACGAATCGAAAAATTTATCGACATTCCACAACACTGCAATCAAGGAAACAAGTGTTTGAATGAGATTACCTGTGTTCCGAGAACATTCTCCCCTCCGGAATCGACACGATCCATGTGACTGACAGAATGGGTGCCTGTCGAAGCGTCTCCACTCACATCTCCTTCAGCTCCAACTACCTCTGTCAGTGCTGGTCTTCCACCTGGTACCTGAAATGGAATGAGACCACAGAGTGGATTAAGCGCGAGTGTGTAGTGTGAAGTAATTAGTGCTGGATTGCAAGTGTGTGAGACCTATGCATTATGTTTGGTGAGACATTCATAGTGTTTTTTTATTGGTTGTCTGGATCACATGCCGTAGTTAATTCTTATTCACCCTCCTTAACTGGCTTATTTTTTTGTGTTTTTTTTATCTCATTAAATTTTATGTTTTTGGCTGTTTAATTAATATTTTTCTATGTTTCTTTTTTTCGTTTCCTTTTTCTTATTTTTTTGTATACTGCCTTTTTTTCCTGTACTTATTGTATTTTTCTCTTTTGGAGTGCTTCCATTTTAATTTGTGTTTTAGTATTCGAGATAAATTTTTTTAACTCTTTTTTATTTTCTATTAACTATTTACATGAATTCGCCATTAATTATTGTTGTTGTGTTTGCCTGGTTAGAGAATATATAACTGCAAATTCTTCAATATTGAAATGCTAAACAACTTTTTGGTAATTATTATTGTAAATTTTTTTTGTTGCAATTATATGAAGCTGTAATTGGACAACCGTTTAGATTCTTCTATGAACGTTCTGTTTAATTGTTTTAATGAATTCAATAAATACTTCAGTTCATATTTATTCAGTGTTGATAAAGGAATCACAAGTTGAATCTTTTAGAGTGATATGAGGTTATTTTAGAACATCACAGTTAATTGTTTAATTTGAAAAAGTTGAAAAGATCGAAACCAATAGGTCCTGGGTTTGAATCTTCCGAGGCGGGATGGTGAAACTCACTGCTACTGTGGGGTCTTACAATAGGACGGAACGGCCGTCCAGTGCTTCCAGGTTTTCCATGGTGGTCTAGACTCAATCGACTCATGATCTTAACCATTTGAACAGATATATGTTGAAAATGTAAGTTTAATGAATTCTGTAATATTATTTACAGATAGTGTTGATATTGATCGCTAAATTCAGCATGTTATTTAATTAACAAATTATCAATTATATTTCATTTATTTGAGATAGTTTGTATTAGTTAATAACATGTAATAATTTCCTTATACGATCTAATCAAAAAATTCTGCATTTTCAATCTGTTTACTTAAATAAAAGTAAAGAGAATTACAACCAGTAAACAGTTTGTTATGAATGAATTAATACGTCGTATTTATTTAAAAGAATGTACGGTAAGTGTATAATTCATGGACAACCTTCGAGCAACGTTATAGTGATCTTGAGAGTGTCCACTTATTAACTAGGACGAAATGAGGGTTATAAACCAGTGTGAGGGATTATAATTAGGATAATGAATTATATTTAGGGTTTTCATCACGAAATGACATCAGCTATAATGTCAAAACTCTATTTAGCGAAATGGGTGAATTTCACGCCAAAATCCGAGACCTGTTATCTTATACCTGATCAGTTCGATTATAAATTATAGTTTCGCTAAAATGTGAATACTTTCATCTTTCTTGTCTAAATGGATGAAATTTTCAAGACTACTGTTGTATACAACTATGGAAAACAATATTGTCACAATTGATTGATCACTGGATGGCGATCAATGTCATGCTTGTCTAGTCCTTAATAGTGCAGATCGAATGCTATCGATCATGTTGCAATGTGGCCACCAGTCTAGGTCCTACAGGTGGTCGGTCGCGGCTCGGATAGCCAGGGGTAACGTCTCTGACTATGAAGCTGGGTGACACGAGATCGAATCCACCAGGGAGCACCAGTTCCCTCAAGATTACAGGTATACCTTGCTGACGAGTGCCAAGTAGCACGAAACCCGGGTCCAGGGTTCCATTTCGACTAATTCCAACCACCATCTAAAAACAATATTGTCTTTTAAACTCTACATATTTCAATGGTATAGAACATCACAGAATATTCTTATTTTGTTTAAGGAATTGACCAAATGGTGGTTATACAGTAATAAAAAATCATTCTACCATGTTACCATTTGCATGCATGTGTATATGTTAAAATCATATAAAACACACCTGCCCAGAGATCTGGAGGTATTCAGTTACTAGGTACATTTTCTTTCGACAGAGGCTATTTTTTTGTCGATATTTATTTTTATTACTACATGTGTGTAAAATGAAGATTTTTTTAAGAACATCTTTCAAATAATACATCGTCACAAAAAGGCAACTAGGTATATTAGAGATTGAAAAATAGCATAAATAATTCCGACTGTCTACCATACATTCAAGCAATTCTTGTCAGAAAAAGTTGAACAAAGCAGTCATCAAATTAGATTAATATTTATCAATCGGATGAAATACATCGTTGAAAGGAAAGGCGTTTGGGTTTCTATGTGATTTATCAGGTGAATGTGAATTTGATAAACATCTATTTAAGTAGTGTATAAGCGTGATTCAACATTACATTTAACTACTTCCAAATAAAAAGTAAATGTTTTTGTTAAGTATTGATTTATGACGAATATTATTTATTCCAGTGTGTAAGCATAGTTCCTGATACACATATTACCATTTGAAATAAATCAATATTGATGTGCTTCAGAAAATTCGTTTATTTACCCACGCTTCAATTATTATGTACTTGGAATAATGAAGGTTATCTTATATAAGGAATTTAGCAAACATGTGTCAAGTAATTCGATAATCATTTGCTATGATGTCTCTACGTTTACTAATAGTTTATTAGTACGGATCATGTATTAGATTCAAATTACAAGATTTCGAAAAATCAATTACGAGGTGAACAATAAGTTATTACACTTTGTGGGAAACCCTGGTGAGTTTTCGGTGTCTAGTTCGATTTATATGAAGTAAGAGTTTATGTTTCACTTGGCACAGTCTCAATAATTTAACAATGCTTACTTAGACTTTTAGTGATACCTCTTCTTTTGACGGTGTAAGGAATGGTACTATGTCAAGCCCACATGGGTTATTCTAGCCTCTGGACAGATCAATCTATTCACTTTTCTAAAATCACATTCTTACCTTGTCACTTATTCGCATATTAACCCTGACTGCTTTTATTTCAGTGTGTTAATTACCTACCCTATTCGTTATCTGTAACACTTTTTGTTTGACTATAAATATCAAGTCATGCTTGATAATACCGAGTTGGCTCACTTGCCATTTCGTTTCATTCCACTCTCTCCTCTCCACTTTCTTGCTTCGTTTCTTCGATTGTCTGCCAAGATCAACGATTGTGTGAAGCATACGTATTCGAAATCCATTCTTGTATTTGATTTATTTTTATTCCCTTATTCACTAACGTGATTTAAGTTGATGATTATATACGAGGGTAACCTGGAAATATATTTCGATAGTAATCATTCATACGGTCGAATTGGAGTCAGATAAGAGGGCTACTAAAACAGATATCCTTAACAAATATTTTAAACGCTCTCTCACATGATCATATTAACTCCATTGTTCAGTTTCTTTGTATTTTTACGTTACCTATATTGTGAATATTGTAACTGTATTTATTATTTGTATGAATATTCTATGAAAGGTTTTACCCTCGAACTAAAGTTAGAACCATCTTTTACTGTCTAATATAATAAATGCGGAGAATGACCCAGTAACTTTCAGAACACTTATTAGACACCAAGTACATTGTGTCAAAACGTAAATATATATAAAATGTGTATGATTTTTACACTGTTTGGATTTTTCAAGATTTGTTATTATTTTGTTACAGATAGTCATTTCTCCAAGAGGTATTAAATATTTCTGCAGGTCCGTCCTTAATCAGCACAAATGCTCTTAAATGCCCCGGTACAGCAGGGGGTGGGGAGAGTTAGCTCTCACTTTCCAAATGCTCTCACACGGCCATGCGTATACAGCCACGACCAAGAAAGTTCTATCCACTGCCTTCTCACGGCATTACT